AAAAAGCATAGTAAACTAGTTCATTTTCAGAAATGGCTGACGATCTCAGAGGAAAAGTTGGAGATCTTAAATATCGCTCCATGAAAAACAATCTCATATTTACTGAGCTGGGAGGTAGCAACGATACGAAACTACCGAAGAAGTAATTGAAATCAAATATTTGTTAGGAACTGGGTATGAAGAGAAATATATAGTTGGGAAATATTCATTCATCCGTGTGATTGAACTGTCCTAGCTACATGTGTGACAACACGGAAGACGGTGAGGTGCAGAAATCTGACGCACACAGCACCCGCATAGTGAAATTGCACAGTAAATGCTTCCAATTAGCTGGTAAACACCTAACAGCAGGCGCCGGAAAACGATCCCGCATGCGTTACACTCTAGATGGACAAAACCCATGATAACATTAACAGACAGGCACTCGGCAAACATTGCTGCGACAAAATACACCAACGCATTGCCCTCCATACCCCTCTCCCCCAACCCCACCTTGCTTTGCTTTCCTAGAAGAAATGTGTGATTTTGATAGTGGTACAATTGAAAATGCAAATATAACCATCAAAAGCCACATTGGTCTGCATCGCTCACCTGGTATTCGTCTCACAGGCAAGATACCTGTACCTATGACACTAATTTATTTAATAGAACCTGTTCAAAAGTCTAAACACATATGACCCCTGCGATATTGAAAGTCTAACAAGGTCAATACGTTTATCAAACTGTATAACTCTTCATTCCAGCATATTTATTTGTGAAAAATAATCAACCTTATACTTCTGTTTATTTAGAAGAGGCCATTCACAGATTCATATTCATTTGACCAAAATCATTGATCAAGGTCAATCACATAAACAAACTTCATCTTAACGTTGAATTGACCAAATGTCACCACCCTATACGTTTTGGAAGAACTTGTTGCTTAAATGTTTTCGACAACCCTGAGACTTTGGATATGAATAAAGGTCAGTCATTTTAACCAATCCATGTTGGCCTGTATCTGAGCAAGTAACTGGCCATATATTATCCCTATAGACATTTACGTTAACTTAAATGCATTAACAGAGTTTACCCCTGCAACCTTGAACATGGGTGAAGGTCATTATTTGAACAAAAACCGTAGATCTTTCTCGGTCTTTGAAATTGGCCAAATATCATTACTTTAGGCAACTCATTTATAATCAAAAGAAGCCGTTGAAATATTTTAAGCACACTTGGCGAATGTGACCTTAAACATGTAACTCGTCATATGTCATCACCAAAGGTCTTTTGGTTATACAACAGAAGTCCTTTTTATTAGTTGTCTTTCATTTGAACAGACATCGTATGACTTAATTTGATCAAGTAAGTGGCCAAACTAGGCATTCTGATTATTCAGAAAAAAATACTTTACAGTTTTCGACATATATTACCTCTGTGACCTTGGATATGAATCAAGGGTCATTGATCCTTGGCCTTAAGATTATTCAGATTAAGTTGTTAAAATATTTCTGTGACACTTGCCCCCTGTGACCTCAATAATGATGGAAGATCATTAATTTCAACAAGTTTTGTTTATCCCGAAATTCTACGGGCCCCATAGCTATAGTTAATAACCATTCATTTCAGCATGTTATAAAAGCCCTGTATTGTTATTTGTTGCTAACAAATTTTAACATATTTGACCCTTGCTACCTCGATTATTGTGAGGGTCATTCATTTGAACAAATTGTGTACCCCTTTAATTATCAGAAAGAGATAAAACTGTGATAAAATTGTAGTCAATGTGCTAGACCACTATTGTCATTATGTAAAACATCTGTATTGGAAATAGCAACAAAGATGAGTCTGATGCTGTAATTATTAATGTTTTCATAATGGAATCATGTCTTCAAGACGATATTTTGTCGTCAGTGTACCCCAATTCAAAAATTGTTTATTCAATTTGTATGAGTAGATATCAAATTTTCTTTTCTATAACAAGTTGATATATCCCGCCTGTGGTTCATTGAAGTGAACGCAAATTACTTTTACGGTCACGTTGGCTCTTTGGACTAAGGGACACTTTGTTATTTGCGCTAACATATGGGATAGAAGATCATCATAGGCAAAAACTTACACACAGTTCAAATGTATTAGACTCAGAAGAGTTCAGATTAATTTTCTTCTCCAAAAATGAGGTAGACAGTGTCGCTACTGGCTAAAAAAACTAGCGTCTGCTTAAACTAAACAGAGAAGGGAAGGGTGATAACAGACTGCATTGGCGATTTGGGGTGATATTAAGGTTAAAACAAATCGCTTTGTATCACATAGCATACGGTGTTATCCAGTGAATATGCCCATGCCATATTTTTTGCGTATTAACACATGTTATATTACCTATCAGCCCTGTGATTGATTGTAAGTTTCAATTGTTTCAACTCTGACGTCACGCCTAGGACAAGTACATGACGTCACGATGACAATGACAAGTTTTTGTTCTCGCAAACTGGTAACAGTGTAGAGAATTAACATGTACACGCTCAATTATGTGCTGAAGGAATTTTATAAGTGAAATTTATTCTTCATTATTGACATTGAAAGTACTAGGACTTTCATAATAATATCGCGACATACATTTTCTTCTGTTTTGCAGTATCCGGTGGTAATTACAGTTAAACAAATAATGATATTCGTCTCCAATTTCATTCAGGTCGCAAAAAATACGTTTTCTATCTTCTCTTGGAATGTTATTCCGTCTACCACATTCAATTGGAAATTTAGCATTAACAAATTTAAATTTACAATAAACATTTGCTAATCTTGTTATTTGAAAACTTACACAACATGTAAGTTTGGTTGATGTCAGCAAATGCACACACGTGGAGAAAAGCAGAAAACGACGAGCAATTTAACAAACCAAATACTACTAGAACTATTGAACTTGCCTTCGTAGGAAATATGTCAGGAGCACTGAAGCATCGATACCAAAAGAACCATTACAGCCACACGAGATTCCGAAGTAACCGTGGCAGTCAGTTTCAACAGACCTATCTGAATATGACGGCAAGTCGTGCATAGTCATAGTGGACTATTACAGTCGTTCGTCGAGGTCTTGCAGCTCGATTGCTATAAACCGGTCATTCGCAAAATCAAAAGCGCCTTTGCTCTGTTTGGAATCCCAGAAAAGGTTGTCTCGAACAACGGTCCGCAGTACTCGTTCGAGAAATTCGCGAATTTCGCGTCAGCGTTTTATTTTGTTCATATAACGTTAAGTGCCAGAATATTGTCATGATCGGGTCATTAAAACGTGCGACATTAGTCAATCGAGATTACGTTACGGAGTAGTCCTCAGTAGTGGTCAGCAGAAATCATGTGTTGGTTAAAAGGTGGTGAGTAGTTGTCAGCAGTTGTCAATTAGTGGTCAGGAGTTGGTCGATAAGGGTCAAGCAATAGCCACCGGTGTTCAAATAAAGGTCAGTAGTGGTCAAGTGATGATCGGTATTGGCAAGAAGATGGTCAACATTGCAAAGTGGTGATCAGTAGTAGTCAATTAGTGGTAACAATCTGAATGTTAAATGTCGTCTTTTGGTTTCTTTATTCGACTAACACTTCCCTTATGTTTCCATCTTCCAAATGCCTCTTGGAAATGTTAATGTTTAACGTCACTTTAAAGCTGCTCAACATTTTAAAACTGGGTGTTGAATAGTGTATGTCGAGTCACGTGACATTCAAATTACTAAGTCATAGCCCTTAGATGTAATATTCGTCCATCCCTCACTCCCCCTCTTTCTTCCCACAGGCTCTAAGTATTGGTGATATCATAGGAACCGAGCAATATGTTAGTTATTGTACGAGAGGGGCGGAGCTACTTCTCGAGCGCGTAGCGCGAGAGATGTAAGCTCCGCCCCTCGAGTACGATAACTGACATATTGCGAAGCCTATGATGTAACCGACTTGTTGCATAAAGTGTCACGTAACAATTTTAAGAGAACATTTGAACAGTTGATAATGTCCCGAACTGGTCACATGAGCACAGCAGTTCGAGCTTCAGGAGACTGTATGCTGCACCCTTGTTAGAAGTGAGCAAATTATTGGACCCTCCGAAGGAGAAAATGGTAAAAATTGAGGGCGCTACATGGAAAAATGGTAACTCAGATATTTAGCCTACTAATGTGAATATTAACATGCCTACAGAAAAGGACAATGTTCCATTTGCTGATATTTCTAATATGTCCAGAAAGGTGTTTCACAATTGCCACGTGTCTTTTAATTACAAGACCGACTGGTACCAGTTCATGCTAAGACTTTAACTTACAAAACGGAAAGTAACGGAACCGTGTAACCTGTCTGTAAAGGCGAAATTTGTTGAATTGTTTGCAACAATGTTGCTTAATAAAATGTGTTTGAACTTCCTGTATTCGTATTTTTATTTATTTCCCACGGTGTCGATATCCTATAAGCATTCACTAATTGGCCACTGTACACTTTCATTGGCTGACCAATGAGAATGGAGAATTATATTGTATTCAGTATAGTGGAGGAGCCTCACTAATACCATATGGTATTAGTAAAACTGTGTAATTAAGTTGGTTATACCATAGCTAGATCAAAGGGAAAGTGACACGTCTATACTGAATGAAAAAGTTGAATGCCGAGCGTCGTATGTCGAGCTCCTAATTATTCAAAATCTGAATGTCGAATATCGCAATTTGTTGTCCATATTTGATCCGTGTGACCTTGAACGTAGGTAAATGTCATTTATTTGAGGACATTTTAAAGCATTCTATCCCAGCTACTTACAAATAGTATAGACTCTCGTACATTATTCAATAAAACGCGTTTCATACTCACATATATGACATACTCAAATATATAACACTCACATACAGTATACAGTGTCAAACGTATTAACTCCAATACATTTCGAACACACATTAAAAGTACACGCACATACATTAATGCTAAGATACATTATGTGCTAGCATATCTAGACACGCACAAATACACACATTACAAATGACCATGTATTATACACTCACCTATAACGTCCACTGTGGTCGTGTCTGTCTGTGGTGGTGTTGTACTGTCGGAGTTGTCATTTCTCCCCTCACACGTCCATCTGTCCCCGTGACTGTAACTGTCGGCGGGAATCTGTATCCCCAGTGTCCTCGTGTCTCTGTTACAGGTAAATGTGTAGGGTGGTGTTGATGGACATGATGTCCCAAAATTTATTAACACATTGCCTATTCTACCTCCACCATCATTTAGTCTATAGTTAACAACAGCATTTAGACCTGTGTAGTCAGCTGACCACTGACACGTGATACTGAGGGTCTGACCGGACACGACCTCGGCTGTAGGAGAGGGACTGACCATCACGGATAATCCAGTCATACCTGTGCGGATGAGACAAGCGATTATCAAAAGTATGGTATATTTTTACTATGTTCAGTGAATATATTTTGGCACGGATAAAGGGTTTAGAGTCAGATTGGTCCACGTGTATATTGAGTATATAAGGATGTATGTCGACATTAATTGAGATAACAGTAACTGTAAGTTTGTTTAACAGGGATTTATTGTATTTTCTCTCGTCTTNTCTCCCATTAGTTAAAGTACTTACATGTACCTGTAACTGATCGGTATACGTATGTCTCCCATTAGTTAACGTACTTACATGTACCTGTAACTGATCGGTATACGTATGTCTCACATTAGTTAACGTACTTACATGTACCGGTAATTGATCGGTATACGTATGTCTCCCATTAGTTAAAGTACTTACATGTACCTGTAACTGATCGGTATACGTATGTCTCCCATTAGTTAAAGTACTTACTTGTACCTGTAACTGATCA